TTGATTCCGGTCGACATTGTCGCAAAAACCGTGATCCTCGCTGCGTGGCGAGCGGGAACCACAGATTCCAAGAAAATTGGAATCTACAACTGTGCCATCGGCGATCGGGCACCCAGTTTCACCTGGGGCGACTTCGCGAATTTCCAAAAGAAGCTCGTCAAGGAGGTCACGTTCAATAATGCCGTCCGCTATCCCGCCCTCACCCTGCGCAGCAACTGGACGATGCACAAATTGTCAATGATCTTCCAGCATTTCCTCCCCGCCTTCATTGGGGATGGCGTCCTATCGATAATCGGGAAGAAACCCTTCCTGAACAAGGCGTACGAGCAGATCAACGCCATGCAGACGGCCCTCTCGTTCTTCACCACTCATGAGTGGACGTTCAGGACGGAGAAATTGGAAGAGCTCTCCGAGTTTCTGGACGAGAACGATCGTCGGGAGTTTGACATAGACGTGAGTTCGCTCATCTGGGACGATTTTCTGGTTCATTACGTTCGAGGTCTCCGCGACCACGTCCTCAAGGAGGAACACAAGGGGGAATCTACCCGCATACGGACCTTGTACCTGATCAACCAGGCCCAAACCTGCCTTCTGGCCTGCGGCGCCTTAGTCGCATTCAAAGAGGTCCGATGGCTTGCGGAATCCTTAGATGGATATTTCTGCGCTTGATATCGCCTCTGATGAGTGGTGACTATCAGCGACGACAGACCGTCGCAGGACCGATACTTAGGGAATATTAGGTAATTTTTATTTTTAGGAATATTTATATTTATTGTAAAAAGGAGTCAAATATATTTATCGTACTTAGTGTAGACGTCGTTGGAGTGAATCGGGGTCGACGGCATGTGATCTTGAAGGAAAAAGAAGAATCCTTCCCCGGTAGAGAAGAGGAAAGCATCGTTCGTGATGACGCAAAGTGAATAAAGTTACTCGCTTAAATAATTCGATTCTTTTACGTCTCTGGTCCCTGCAAGGACTTAGTGGCTCCAATCATGCTCATCGACACTTCGTTTTCTCTATGTGCGTCGAATTCTACCGCACCTGACATCGGTTAGGCGCGTGTGTTCACTCCTCACTTCTGAGAACTTCGACGACAGGCAGTCGCATCCCCCGAGCTCGCACGGAGTCCTCATACTGATTGTGAGATGAATAGGTCTGAAGCGGCATATAGGCCTCCAATGATTTCTTCTATCGATCATGGGTCCGAAAATCGTCTGCGTGGAAACAGGGTGATATTAACTCCCGAAAATTTCAGCAGCTGAGCCATGCCCGACGATCAGCCAGAGTACTTTGACATAGGGATGAGTCCCTCTCGACAGTGACAAACATATTTGAGAAGGATCCAGGATGCTGACAGCACTCAGCAATCAAAGTCTCCCGCTGTGCTCTCAGAGAGCTTTCTGCGTAAGAGTTCTGCCGTGGTCTCGATCCTTTCATCTCCGAGATTCGGACCCATGCCTTCCTTATCTTATTTCTCTGATCGGACTCGGATACTGTCGGCTCCGAGTTTTCCATCTGCACACCTGCGTTTGGGGATCCGCTCAACGCTGAGATCGTGTTCTGCAGTCGCTTGTAGAATCTCGCAGCCCCGATCTTTTTCGGAAGGTCGGCGTCGAGAGCGTCCTCCGCAGCACCATAGTGTGATCGAATCGCAGCGACAGTTATTTGATCGATTCGGGCTTAATCTCGCAGCTTGTTCTCGGATCGACCGCGGTCAATCTGCGATGGGATGAGACGGGGACGCTCTCACCTCCGTGCGTAGCCGCCCGATTCATCGACGAGTCCGGCCGTCAGCTTCTCAGACCGGATCAGGCATCATCATCATCATAAAACGCTGCTGCCATCGACGCCACCGATGATACGTGTGTCGGCCCTCGGCTGAGGACGCTAGTTAATTCGGCTCGCTTCTAATAAGTCTGCACGGCACGTCGTCGTTTGAAACGACGAGCTCGCTGTCACCGGTACAGGAACATGCCACCGGTGTCAAGACCCTCCGCCAAGGAACTGCCTGTTCATTTGCCTGTTCCGCCGTTCAGTACTGGGGTCGCTGTTGCCAAGAGCCCTACGATAACGATGCTAAAAACTGTCGACTTATCTTGCCGCCGCCGCCGTCGTCGGCGTCGACGTTGTAATTGCCGTTGGCGCCATCGCGATCATCATCGTCATCGAGGGCAAATGTCAGTCGGTTTCTACTCCCTCATCCGTCGAGTGGCTTCCGGAACGAGGCGAAGCTATACCAACATAGCGGGAGGGCGAGCAATGACACGACATCTCTCCGACGTAGAACGGCTTCCGATAGTTGACGTCGACCGAGGAAAGTCGGGCTCGCTCGTTCCGCGGCTCCCCTACATTAGTCAACGAGCAGGGGGCTGGGCCACGGGAGGGTTTCTCAGGGAGGGTTATAATGTACATTAGAAGTTTAATAACGTCTCTGAGTTTCGAAATAGTTCAGGAAGACGGGGAAGCGGGAAGGGGGGGGGGCCAGGCTTCGGAGCGATCCCCTTGCGGCTAATATCAGTCGGAGATGACTCGCCGAACGAGTAAATCATTTCGTGCCGAGCTCGATCGTTATTGCGGTCGGAATTATTGTCAAATAGGATCTGAACGCCCAATCCGAGCGCTGTTCCGTCCCGCGTGAGGCATTTATCTAACGATAATTTGTTTGTTGCAGATCCACTCACAATGAGCTGGAGAAAAACAGGTGAGTTCGCAATCGAGAATCCACGTCATTAGAGCTTTCCGTCATATGATGAATACACTTCGCCTAATGCAACTCGCGGTGCAGCTCGTTAATTCTGAAGTTCGTGTGAGGATACCGCGAGACTCGACGGAATTTATTGGGACCAGGTGAGGTACCGGCAGGGATTATGATGCGAGCTGCTCGAGGCTCCCAATTGG